CGTGCTGCACCTTGCGGTACTTCACCAGGTTGGAGTTGGCCTGTTGCTCCTGCACGGGGAGAGAGTCGGGCATGGGCACCTCATGGCCTGTAGCTACCCCAGGCAGCACTGTGCTCTGCCCAGGACAGCAGCAGTGGTGGGGACGGGCACTTACCGCCTCCTCGAACTGGCGCTTGTAGCTCTTGACCTTGCTCTGCAGCTTGTCGATCAGGTCCTGCATCCGTGCCAGGTTCTTCCGGTCTTCCTCAGCCTGCAGGTGCCCCAGCTCCGTTAGCAGGACCCAAAGACAACCCCAACTCGGGGTCCAGCTGCCCCCACACCTTCAGTAAAGAATCCCAGTGGTGCCAGGGCCCCTCACATACACAGAGAGCACCAACCTGGGCCCATGGCTTAGGGTGTGTTTCCCGTTCATTGTGTCCCCCCCCCACCAATCCCTTGTGCTTCAGCACCCAGCTCAGGAGGTGCTGTCGCAGTGGAGGGGGGTGGCAGTGCTGCCCTTGCTCCCTGCACAGAGCCCAGGACAAGCCCACCCCGGGCTGGGCTTGGTGGGGACTGTTGGGTAACTGCAGAGGCTGAGCACAGGGAGCATTGGGCTGAGTCCCGCGGGCGGGAGCTGGGACCGGTGCTGCTGTACCTGGTAGCTCAGCTCCTTGATCCTCCGCTCGTACTTGCGGATGCCCTTCTGGGCCTCAGCCATCTTCTTCTGCTCCGTATCCAGCTCTCCCTCCAGCTCTCGCACCTGCAAGGGGATAGAGGCTAGCTCAGCACCAGCCCCAGATAAGGCCAAGCCACCCCCAACAAAGGCTTGCAGGTCCTTGGGGACCGTCCTGCATTTCCATGGACCCTCTGTGCAGAGCCTGGCTCCAGAGGGATGGGGCAGTGCTGGTACCCTGCAGAGCCTGGTGCCAAAGGGGATGGAGCAGCACCATAGGGGGTCTGCCCCTGCCTTCTTACCCTGGCCTCCAGCTTCTGGATCTGCTTCTTGCCTCCCTTGAGAGCAATCTGCTCTGCTTCATCCAGGCGCATCTGCAGGTCCTTGATGGTCTGCTCCATGTTCTTCTTCATCCGCTCCAGGTGCGCGCTCGTGTCCTGCTCCTTCTTCAGCTCCTCTGCCATCATGGCAGCCTGCAAGGCCAAGAGGCATCACCACAAGCCCAGGCAGCCCTGAGGGCTCAATGGAGATGTTCTGAGACCTTCCCCTCTCCTCCCACCTGCCAGCCCCACCACTCTTACATCTGTGATGGCTTTCTTCGCCTTGTCCTCAGCGTTGCGGCACTCCTGCACCGCATCCTCCACCTCGCTGCTCAGCTGCGAGATGTCTGCTTCCAGCTTCTTCTTCTGGTTGATCAGGCCCGTGTTCTGCAGGCAGAGCAGGGTCAGTGCCACAGGAACTGGCCGTTCACCATGCCCTGCTACTGTATGGGCTCCTGGCTGCAGAGACACGGGACATGCTGGTCC